CCCTCCACATCCCTCCTCCAGTGGCAGCTCCAAATGGGGCAGTTTAATTAGAGGTAATACTTGATGATGGGCCAACAAGTACTCCTCTATTAATGAGGATCACTAATTTCCTTCGTGGTGCCATTACCTCTGCAAAGCTGAATCCGTGCCAGGAAGCCCATACTCAAAGGGGCAAGCTGGAGAAATCTGACCAAGCAGATGTTCTGAAAATCCCAAATCATTCCAGAGCTGGTTCCCCTGCTCCAGAATCCCACCGATCAGAACATCCCTGCCTCAAAGACCTTGGCGCGGTAATCATTCACCCATCCCTTCAGCCAGCACTATCATGTGCCATGAACTGTAAAGACATTGTGGACAAAAATGAGTAAGGCATGCTCCCTGACATCAGAAGTTCAGTTTAGTGGGGCAGAGAAGATATCCGAGAATTCCCATACAGTGTAATACACGCTCTGATAAAAACAGGCATGACAGGCAGAAGCAGCACAGCAGAGGCCGAGCTAACCTCTGCATTCACGTAGGAAGGGGGCCGAGGCCTTGCAGACAAGCAGAATTTAGCCAAAGGAGGAAAGTAGGAAAGAACATTCCAGACAGAACGTACGGCGCAGTGCAAAAGGTGTCAACGTTTCATGCTGAAAAGCTTCAGGTGGCTGAAGTGAGAATTTGGCCCGGGGATTGGGGTGAAGGTAGGGGTAGCAGAGAAGGAGGTAACACTAGAAAGACTAGGTGGTGGCCACGTCACAGCGGGTCTGGATCCGATGGCAAATGGTTTAAGCTTCTGGGAGACAGCAAAGGATCTGAAACAGGGGAGGGAAGTGTGCTTTAGAAAGATCACTCTGGCAGCTGCGTGGAAAACGGATTTGGAAAAGGAGAAAAGTATGAATGGGGTACAAAGGCTCTTGCAGTCCAGTATGAGCTTTGTGAAGGCAGAGACGGACTGTTCTTTATTACTTCTTATCTTCAACATTTATGCACTCACAGGCACTCAGCAGATACTGAGTAGATACGGTTGATCTACTTACGTCTTGGGAAGAAGTGATTAAAACTGAAAAGACTGGCCTCTGGCTAATGACGGGAGGAGCTGTCTGAGCCTACGAATGGGGCCATGAAGGACGGAAATAAACACAGGTACGGAGGAGGCAGTGGAGAGCTGGGAGTGGGGCTAAGAGTAGAAAGATAAAATACAGACCAAGATGACTAACCTCGATTCCAGGTGGTGGATAACGTGTAGTTTTTGGCACAGATCCGCCTGGCCAGAGAGGGGTGCTTGACAATCTGGGATTTACACAGCTGTATCAAACTGTCCACAATGACTGGGCTTGGAAGAAAGAAGAGACGTTTGGAGATGTAAAGGAAAAGGCTGACTCCCAAGAGCCGTCCACTGGAAATCTTATTGACTCGGGGAAAACCTACCAGTAGGTCTCTCTCTTGGGGGTGTCTTCCGTGGAGTGCCAGAGACGGGCGTGGGAGATCACGTTCAGGACACGTTCATCTTGGTTCTCTATGTGGTTCTTTGGATCATCAACAAGGCTAAGCACTTTCTTGGGAAGGCCTTCTATTAACTTGGCCTTGGTAAGCCAGAGGGCCTGCTTCACACCTTTGGGGTAATTAGTCAAACACACACACACACAGACACACACACACACACACCAAAAACAACAAAAAAGAGGACTCAGTAAGAATTGCTTCAGTAGCCTCTTGGGGAAACGACTGCCTTGAGAGACACAGGATTTGTACTGTGACATCTGAGGAGTCAGAACTAGAATAAGAGCCCAGGCCGCCAAATTTCAACTCAGCTTCAGGAATGACTGTCTACCCAAGGACGGTCAACAGTTGATTGAGGTAATGGATGTCTGCACAGGAGGAATTCAAACAGAAGCCAAGATGGCTGGGGTCGTAAGGCTGAATCTTGCAGGAAAGGGTTTGTCTGTCGCCTCAAGATCCAGACTCTAGACTCGGACTAGATCAATGGATGCCAACATTTCAAATCCTAGATCCTTTCTATTAACCCACATCAAAATCCCTGACTGAAAAAGCCCATGACAGCTGGCTGGTGACTGCTTTGGGTAGCAGGCTCCTCATCCCAGCTGGGAAAACACCACTGTTTCAGAGATAGATCTTCATTTAAAAAGCTGTGCCTAGGATTAAACGGAGCCTAGGGTACTTTGGGAGGGACACCTTCAGGCAGTTTCCTTTGTGCTAATAAATGAAATGCTATGAGAGCAATGGGTCTTTTCAATTTGAGGCTTGTATGACGTGAGAAATACAAATATTTAGAAATGTAACTTTTGGAGGCGCCTGGGTAGTTCAGTTGGTTAAGCATCATACTTTAGCTCAGGCCATGAACTCATGGTTCGTGGGTTCAAGCCCCATGTCGAGCCCTGTGCTGACAGCTCAGAGCCTCAGAGCTTCAGATTCTGTGTCTCTGTCTCCCTCTCTCGTTGCCCCTCCCCGGCTGGCACTGTGTCTCTCAAATATAGATAAACATTAAAAAAATTAAAAAAAACAAACAAACGTAACTTCTGGATTTTGTGGTGCAGCAGAAAAAGCCCTGAGTGGGAGTTAGGTAACCTGAATTTTAGTTCTGCCACTGCCACTGCTTCTTAAACTTGAAAAAAAAAATTTTATTTAAATTTTTAATTTAAAAAATTGAGATTTTGGGGGTGCCTGGGTGGTTGTTGATTGAACATCCAACTCCTATCAGGTCATGATCTTGAGCCCCAGAATAAGCTCACTGCGCTCTCCAAAGAGCATGGAGCCTGCTTAAGATTCTCTCTCACTCTCCCTCTGTCCTTCCCCTGCTTGCTATCTCTTGCTCTCAAAAATATAAAAAATAAAATTCATAGTTATGGTTCACTAAAATACGAATAATATGTGATAATTACAGATGCCATTTACTGACCATTACCATCTACCCTGTGCCCAGTACTTTATCTACAAGCCAGATGGGATTTTATGGAATGGAGGAAATCCATTATGGGATGGATTTCATGAAACTCAAGAGTCTAAGGAATTTGCTTCGAGTCACACACCCTGTAAGTGATGGTGGGGAGGAGAACATAAGTCTCTCTACCTGAAAGCCTGGTAATGTTACCGGGGTCACTCAAGGGTGCCAAGTCTTGTGAGGTCTATAACACCCTCATAGGGCAATGGAGGTGTTTAGATGCTACAAAGTCAGTTTTCAGAAATGGGTGTGAGGGGCTTAAGAGACTGGCCGGTTGCTTTAAGTTTGTTTTTCAAATCGAGGATTTATTCTCTGGCTTAGTCCGCAAATCCTGCCAGGTCTCTTCCTTTCCTAATTGGAAATACTCTTGGAAGTACTCTTTGGAAAATACTGCTCCCACTACACTTGTCCATTTTGTGTTTTTAAAACCAGAATCCCCACAGTAATTTGGGGACGAAGAAAGAACAGGAAAGAATACAGAAGTGGGGGGAGGGATGCACCTGGGTGGCTCAGTCAGTTAAGCATCCAACTCTTGATTTCAGCTCAGGTCGTGATCTCCCAGTTCATGAATTCAAGCCCTGAGTCTGGCTTTGTGCAGACAGTGAGGAGCCTGCTTGGGACTCTCTCCCTCCCTCTCTCTCTCTCTGCTGCCTCCGCCCCCCAACTGCCCCCTGCTTGGGCATGCACTCTCTCTCAAAGTAAACTTTGGAAAAAAAAAAAAAAAACAACATGGAAAGGGACTCTCAATAAAAAGCCCTCCCAGCCCCACGGACCCTGGGAAATAATTTCTGGCATAAAACGACAGACTGGGTTCAGCTCAGTCATTTTGACTTGCTCTTAGTGAGAATGAGGCAGGGAGGCGGCGGAAATAGGTTAGATAGCTTTTAGGTCCAGACCTTTCCTTGAAAACATCTCAGCTCTGACCTTTGACAAAGGACACTGACCTAGGAAACCAGATAGGTAGCCCTGGCTTCAGTATGAACCCACAGGGCATCTCTGGGCAAATCATATCCCTCTGTCACATTCACCCATCCTAGGAAATGAGGCCATAGGCCAGGAGATTAAGCCCGCTTTCAACTGTGTCTTTCCACTATAAACTCCCTCCACCTATTTCCTCAGTGCAGTTGCGTGTCCTGGGTGTTAAGAGCTGCAAGGGTCAATGTGGCCCAACTAGTCAAAACCACTAAGTCACAGAAAACAGAGGCTCTAGAAGGTTCTGCCACTTGCCCCACATCACACAGATTTAGACAGAGGCAGGGCTAGGCCAGAAACCAAGTCTTTTCACCTCGCCACTCAACATCTCTAATACTCCCTCACACAATCACAGCACTTCACATCCCACTTACCCCTGAAACCCTCCGAAGACCTAATCGCCACCGGCCCCATTTCGCAAAGAAACCGAGACCCACAAAGTTTCAAGGTCTTGCCTAAGGCCACAGAGGGTCGGGGGCAGTGCTGGGCGGAGGAACAAGGTCCCCTCCTGCCCGTCCTAAGGCCTCACCCTCGAGGAGGCGGCAACGTTGGTGGAAGACGAAGCAGGCCTCATCCTTGTAGAGCGGCTGCTCGTGAATCGGGGTCGGGCGGCGGAACTTTGGGTGCGTCCAGCCAGGGTCCCAGGGCGGGAAGACCGGCCGCGCCAGTCCCGGCATGAAGTGCATCTTCCCCGCGTAGGTGATGGGCTCCAGTCCAGGGATCTCGTACACCCTGTCCAGGGGAGGAGGCTCGGGCTTCCGCGTGGAGCGCACGCCCCACTCGTACGCCCCGCGTCTCGGGGTGCCGCAGCCCCCAAGGCCAAGCGACACAGGGCGAACCAGTGCACGCCTTGCGGTCCCCGACGCCAACGCCATCCCGACTTAATCCCCTCAAGACTTCCACCTGGACGCCGCCATATTCCCGCGCGCAAAGCCTGCTGGAAGAGAAAAGGGCTGGATTCCAAGGCTCGTCTTATGATTGGCATCCACATGAACCAATCACGTTCAAGACATCCCTGCCTTGCCCCACCCCTCAGACCGTTTTCATTTTCTTATAGGTGAGACCCGCTAGGCACTTCCCGCCTCCCCGGAGGGGGCGGAACCTGAAGTAACCTCTCTCGAGGAGAGGCGCAGGTGTGTAGGTGAGTGGTCTTGGTAGTAGAGGCTGGGATAGGACTATGGATAGAACACCAGTACTTCAAACCTGAATTGAGGGCAACCTTGACCGCGTACGGGCAGCTGAGGCTTGGGCAGGGCACTTCCCTCTGAGCCCCAATGTCCCTTACTGTAAAAATAGGGATCGAAATGCCTAAGTTAGCGCGCCCGCACAGCTCCCATTCGTAGTGGGTGCACTGGAAGTTTCCTTGTCTCACCACCCACTACTCATTGCTGCTCCGTCTCCACCGGGCCACTCCCCGATCCTGAGAGTGGCCCTGTCCACCACACCAGCCCCGCATCCGACTGCACGCCACTTCCCCAGAGACAAGTGGGAGTTACTTTCCTCCCATTTCCTTGGAGTTTCCCGATCGACCTCCTAGAAGCTAACCCAGAGCTATGGAGACGTTCTTTACTTCTTGTACATACATCAATTGCTTGCGATGTGTCAGGCACTGTGGTGAGCGCTGGGTTTGCGTTGGTGAGTAAAACAGCTATGGAATGTAGAGCATATGGGCAGAAAGCTAGTAAATAAATAAGCAATTGCAACACGCACGTATATTTCCTATTCTTTTTCCCCAGTTATTTTTCTTTTTAGCGTTTAACACTAAATGCTGTGTTTTCCATTTTGGTCTTGTCTAATGACTGTCTATTCCACAGAATATAAACTCCGTGAGTGCAGGGTTTGGTTTCCTCACTGTTCTATCCCCTGCCCCTAGAACAGCCGTTAAATGAATCAGTACATAATGGAAACAAATAGGGTACATGATAGAAATGAGACGGGGAGGTTCAGGGTGGGCCTCTGAGAGGAAGTGACCTTTAAGGAAAACCCAAGGGGTGGGGAGAGTCCTCTCGCGCCAGAGGCAACAACGTGTGTCAAGTCCTGGCTTAGAAGTAATGCTTCTTAGACTGGAAAGTAGAGGCTAGGAGCTGGCAGGAAGCAGGTTTTTAAAGTTCATGATAGACTTGGCCAACATCTCTACCAATTTCCAAAATACCAAAGAAAGTAGACTAATCAAGACACAGAGAAGTTAAGTTAAGGCAAATACAAATACTGATAGGAATAACCCTCATGCTGTATTGCAGTTTAAAGGTAACAGAGCTTGTACTTATCTCACTTATCTTGTAAAACCTTTAGGAGTACAAAAAAAAAAAAAAAAAAAAAAAAGCATAAAGAGGGCTCCAGATTTCATTTGCTCATAATACATTCCTGGTCCATAGCACAAAATAAAAACGGGTTGAATTGATGTAACACCATGCTAGGCTGCAAGCTTTATGTCTTTATGTAGAGAGCCCATGTACGATTTACATCTGTTGTATCCCAGCACCTAGCACTGTGCCTGGCTCCCAGACCTTATTTATAAGCTGAACGAGCATTCCCCATTCACTGGAGCCTTCCATATGCCAGGCTTGTGCTTGGTGGTAGAATATAGAAAGAATGAGACCCCATCCTTGCCCTCAAGGGGGTTGCAGCCTGCTCAACACTCCTGAAATCATAGCACTCACGAACAGCAGGACCAAGTTTTCTGAAACCAAACCCTTTCTTGTATAAGAGAGAGATGTATTGTGCACAGAGGGACTACCCTTCTAAAACCAAGTGGTAAGAGAGTTTGGACAAGCTCTGATCAGAAGAAGCATGGGGCACCAGGCAAGAAGATTGGATTCAAGGCAGTAGGCAATGGGGAGCTGTTAAAGCTTGCTAAGTGGGAGACTGGTGTGATTGGAGCTAGTGGCAGGTGTGAGGATGGGTGGTGTAGGCAGAGACTGGAAACATCCCTCGGGACCATGGGAAGCTCCTGTGTAAATGGACACAGAAAGCAGGAAAAATCGAAAAGGTCTTAAAGGGGAGGAATCGTGGGAGGTGATTGGTAACCAAGAAACAGGACATCCCTGTCTTTTAGGAGCTATGTGACCTTGGGGTAAGTTATTAACCCCCCCCCCCCCGCCGCCGACTCCAGTTATTCCACCTATAAAATGACATCCCTAGTACTAGCCTCATTATAAAGATTAAGTAAAATGCAGCAATTTGGTGGGTGACTTGCCTGAGTGAAAGAAACCGAGTGAAGACACAGAATATGTTGGTATAATTCCATTTATATAAAGGTAAAAACCAGGCAAATCTGAACCATAGTGGTTAAATTTGCACACAAATGTGGCCAAACTAAGGAAAAGCAAGGGAATGATTATACCAAAAGTCAGGATGATGCTTATCTTGTGGGGAATGGGAGGTGATCAGGAAGGGACCCGTATGATTGGCTTCTGGGTTGCTAGCAAGGTTCTTTGTACTTGAGTATGTTGTAGTTACAAAGGGGTTCTTTTCTAAACATTTTAATTTCCTTTTTAATAATTTTATAATCACTAAGATGTACATAAATACTATGATGTATCATTTACTTGTTTATTTTAATGTTTATTTATTTTTGAGAGAGAGAAAGACAGAGTGTGAGCAGGGGAGGGACAGAGAGAGAGGGAGACATAGAATTCAAAGCAGGCTCCAGGCTCGGAGCTGTCAGCACAGAGCCTGGCACAGGGCTTGAACCCACAAACCGTGAGATCATGACCTGAGCCCAAGTTGGAAGCTTAACCGATTGAGTCACCCAGGTGCCCTATCTCTTAAAATATTTTTTTAAATTCAAAGAGATTTTCTATGTAAAGTGCTTAAACTAGCACTCAAAGCACAGGAAGAGTCAGGAAAGTCTGGTTGGCAGCTCTGATTGTTGTGTCCTGTCTGTCCCCCCTTCCAGGCAGCAGATCTCAGGGTTGATTCATCCCTGTCCCCATGCTCATGCAGAGTTTGTCACTTGCAGGCCTCGGGGAGTGTAGGAGGAATAGAGGTGACTTGAGTATAACCCATATGTTTTCCCTCTCTCAGGCTGACCAAGGAGCAGGGCCTGGGCCTGTGGCCTCACAGAGGCAGACCTGCTCTGGGAAGAGCACCCAGCTGTCCCTCCCAGGCCACCCAGGCCCCATGGAGGATGGATGAGAGGGAGGAGGGTGACGATGAGGAAGCCTGGCTGCAGCTCCGGCCCGTGGAGCCCTTGCCCTCCCAGTGCTGTGGCAGTGGCTGCTCGCCCTGTGTGTTTGATCTCTATCACCGCGAGCTGGCCAGGTGGGAGGCAGCGCGAGCCAGCAACGACAGGAGCCTGCTGAGTGGGGAGGAGCCACAGGTGAGGGAGGACTGCTCCTCTGATAAGAGGGCCCCAAGTGGCAGCATCCGCCTGGCGTCTGCCCTGTGCAGGGCACCTGTGTGGAGACGCTTTCCCTGACTGCACAGCAGAGAGAAAAGAGTGTGCTCATGGAAGCAGACAGATCCAAGTTTAAAACCTGACTCTGAGCTGGGGCATGGGGAAGTCCCGGGAGTGAATGGGGTTTGGGCATTTTACAGGAGAGAGTTCTGTGAGTCATGACATTCATAGAAGGCTTCCGAGAGGAGGTGCAGGTAGATGGAGTGTTAAAGGCAGAGGACTGAGACTTAGACGACATGAATTTGAATTCCTGCTCTGGGTATGACCTTGGACAAGTAAGCCCACTACCACTCAGACCTCAGTTTCCCCACATGGGTAATAATGATATTGGATTGAATCATCTTAAGGTCCCATCAGTTTGTAAATTCTGCAAACCTGAATTTTAGCAGATTTGAAGGATGAGTAGGTATTTCATACACTGGAGATGAATGCTCTGGATAAAGGGCACAGCTTGAGCAAATAAAGACTCCCAGATAGGAAGCAGCAGGGTATTCTTGGGAGAACAGACAAAAGTTTGGCATTTGATGCCAGAGAGAGAAAATGAGGCTTGATGTTCATCCACAGGGCCCTGGAGTGCCCAGCTGAAGAGGCTGCACTTTATATCCCGGGGCTGAAGGAGCCATGGAAGGCTTCAGAGCAGGGTGAGCTCAGTGTGAAATGTTTGGGCCTTCTCAGATCAGAGCACGAAAGGGCAGTGAGGTGGGACTCCTCTCCACTGTACAGAAAACTTACTGGCAGAAATAGCCTGCCCTTGCGGAAAACGAGAAGGGTGCTTGTGGATGCTTGTGTGTCTGTTGAATCCCAGGTCCTAGCTGTTGGGCATTTTCCTGTTGCAGAGCTGCCTGTCCAAGCTGAGCCCAGAGACCTTCCTGGCCTTCCGCATCAGTGCCGTGGACAGACTCACCAAGGACACTTACCGTGTTCGGTTTGCACTGCCCAGGAACAGCCGGCTTGGCCTGCGGCCCGGACAGCACCTCATCCTACGGTCCGCTCAAATGGTGGCAGGGCCAAAGCTCTGCAGCCCCACTTTGCCATTTGCTAGCTGTGCAGCCTAGAGCAACTCGCTTAACCTCCCTCAAGCCTCCATTTATCACTTTTTAAATAAGCATCATGGTGCCTTACTCCAAGGGTTCTGGGATTGTGTTTTCATAGTAACTGGTAGCAGCAGCAGCAGCAAACCCTTTCATAGCATTTTCTCTCCAAGGTGCAGTTCTGTGCGCTCATACCTGGGAACTCGTTTCATCCTCACCAAACCCTGTGCGGTAGCTGCCATCGTCATGCTCAGGAGGAAACTGAAGTCAGAGAGGTTGAGTAACTTGCCCAAGGTCACACAGTTAGGAAAGTTGGAGCCAGAATTTGAAGGCAAGGAGTCTGGCTCTAGAGCCTGTGGTATTAACCTAATGTTAGTGCCAGTTGATAGAAAGGACACTTGTCCTTGAGAATAAGGGACTTGCCCAGGGTCACACAGCTAATAAGTCCTTCAGCCAGGATTCAAATCCAGACAGCCTGGCTCCCTAGCTGCACTCTACCACTCCTCTGCCTACTTCTACCCTCTCTGCCCATCTTGATCCCCACCCCATGCACCACCCCACGCCCACCCCCACCCCACCCGACCTGCCCAGAGACAAGGCCCTTTAGGACCTCCAGCGTGAGGCATCTGCTAGACAGTTGACTATATGGGTCTGAGGCTCAGCAGAGAGATCTGAGCTATAGATGTGGGTGTGGGACTCATTGGCCTGCACCTGGGTGACATTTGGGAGTGTGTGTGGCATGGAAAGAGGTAAGGACAGAGGCCCGCACTCTGGCTCCTGTGGTATTGGCAGGAGGGGGAGGAGCCAGCAAAGCAGACAGAAGGTACAGCCAGGGGACAAGGAGGGCATATCCTACTGCTGGGCACACTCCAGCCACTTGCCTCATGCCAACCCCTGGTGTTTGTGTCCAGTGCATCTGGCCTGTGGACTGGCTGCTGTCGTTACAGCTCACTGCCCCAGTGGCTCTGGGGCAGATCGCAGCTGCATGCAGCCCTCCGTCCGTAAATAGGGATACCCAGAAGTCCCTGCCCCTAGCTTGGCCCCTCTCCTCCACTCTCTCTCCAGTGACATTCCTAACACGTGTAGCTGACCATGTTGCTCCCACTCAGATACCTTCGGGGCTCCAAGGAAGCTCCCTGAAGCTCAAGCTTCCTTCCCTGCCAAGTTCTCCCCACTCCTCCATTGCACTTGTGCCTTGCACCAGCCTCATGATCCACTCCCCACTTCCTGACTTGCTCTGCATTTCCTACCTCTGAGCTTTTGCCCCAGGCTGTTCTTTCTGCCTGGAATTACTTCCTTCCTATTCTGACTTTCACCTTTCAGTGGCCTGCGTATCAAAAGCTCCAGGAGGCCTTCTGAGTTCCCCGGATGAGAGTGGTCCCTTCCTCTGTAGCACGGCAGTATTTACCTCTGTAGTAGAACATGTCACAGTACTCTGCATCCATGCCTCGCCGTGTGTTCTGTTCCTTATTTCCTTGTTTGTTCCTGAAGCATTTATTGAATATTTCTGTCTGGCTTCCTGCTTTTGATACATTAGGATGGGGCCTTTTTAATCTGTGCATACCTCTGAGAAGAGAGTTCTGCACACAGTAGGACTCAAAAGAGGAGTGCTTGAGTCCTTCTGGGAAGCTCTGGGGTGTCGTGTGAGGAACTCGACTCTGGAGTCAGGCAGAGCTAAGGATGAATTCTAGCTGTGTGACCTCAGGCAAGTGACATCCTTAGCCTCGGTTTCCTCAAGTAGGTTATTGTTTGTTAAATGAGATAATGCATACTGTATGCTTGGTGCATCGCAGGCATTTAATACAATATGGCTGCTATTATTTTTTTTATTAAAATTTCTTAGTGTTTTATGTATTTTTGAGAGAGAGAAAGAGACAGGGTATGAGCAAGGGAGGGGCAGAGAGAAAGGAAGACACAGAATCGGAAGCAGGCTCCAGGCTCTGAGCTGTCAGCACAGAGCCTGACAAGGAACTTGAACTCGTGAACCACGAGATCATGACCTGAGCTGAAGTCGGATGCTTAGCTGACTGAGCCACCCAGGTGCCCGTGGCCGCTATTATCATTACTCTTGATTATCATCCTGGCCGCCTTGTTGATAACATCGTAGAGAGGATTCATGCATAAGGTCAGGCTTTGGACTAGGGCACTTTCGAGCATCCTTCTAATTCTGATGCTCCTGGTACATGGTAGTAAGTGTTCTGTGTTAGTCTTTATCTTTCACATTCTATGGTCAAGAAGAGGTCAGGAAGGGGCACCTGGGTGGCTCAGTAGGTTAAGCATCCAACTCTTAATTTTGGTTCAGGTCATGATCTCATGGTTTGCGGCCTCAAGCCCCGTGTGAGGCTCTGCACTGACAGTGTGGAGCCTGTTTGGCATTCTCTGTCTCCCTCTCTCTCTCTTTGACCCTCCCCCACTCTCTTTCTGTCTCAAAAATAAGTAAATAAATAAACATTAAGTAGATAAATTAAAAAAAAAAAGAGGTCAGGATAAAGCACAGTGATGTCCTCAAATCAACTCCCATCCTCAGTGGACTATTTAAAGATTTTCCCATCTGGGGGCGCCTGGGTGGCTCAGTCAGTTAAGTCTCTGACTTCGGCTCAGGTCATGATCTCAACAGTCCATGGATTCAAGTCCTGCATCGGGCTCTGTGCTGACAGCTCAGAGCCTGGAGCCGGCTTCAGATTCTGCATCTCCTTTCTCTCTGCCTCTCCTCCACTTGCACTCTATGTCTCTCTCTCAAAAGTAAATAAACATTTGAAAATTTTTTAAAAATTAAAAAAAAATTAAAAAAGATTTTCCCATCTGTAATCCTGGTAGAACCACACAACAGGGACACAAATAGTTGTTCCCACCTTACAGAAGGGGCAGCTAAGGGACCAGGGACTTTCCTGGATCTCACAGCCAGCATATGACAGTGGGGGAGCCCCGTGTACCTTTTTCCCGCTCCATGTTCAGTGAGGACCACTGGAGAGGACTGGGCCCCAGCTTTCACCAGCTGGGCACAGAGTAGTTACCTATAAGAGTTTGTTGAATGACTGGCTGACTGCCTGACCATATACTTCTCTTTCTCAGAGGGAAAGTGGATGACTTAGAAATTCAGAGAGCCTATACGCCCATCAGTCCTGCCAACGCAGAAGGATACTTCGAAGTTTTAATCAAGGTGAGCTGACCCACGCAGTTGTTCTTAAGATGGTATGGACTGGACCTCCATTTGGCAGCGTGGTTGGGGTGTGGCAGTTCCCACCCGTGTGGGAAGAGCCAGTGTTCACATGGGAGGAGGCTGGCTTGAGGAAAGGGCAGGGACAGTGAAGAAAGCCTTCTCCTCACTCCTTTTCTGGGGAAGAGGGGCTGCTGACCCACCAACAGAGACAGATTTTATGAAAAGGAGGCTCAGACTGAGAAAGGGAACACTGTTCCTTCTCACCTGCTCACCTGATCACCGAGAATGAGCACTGAGCCCAGGGCAAGGGGGAACCAAGCCTGGTACTGACTGTGTGCTGGTTGCTGGGATCCAAAGATGAGTCAGATACAATGCCCACCCTTGGACAAGGGGCCAGACCAGGACACTATGATGTGATAGATGGCCCCAATCCAATTCAGGGCAGCTGGGGGCACAGGGAGGGGAGCTGGGCTTCCCAGCAGAAGCTGTGAATTTGAGCTGTACGTTGAGGTTAAGGTGTGGAGGACTCAGAGGGGCACGTGGAAAGGCAGTTCAGTGCTGGCAACAGCCCATGCAATGGCAAAGGAGGCACGGTGTGGGGAACTGTTAGTCACTTGTCCTGGAGCAGAAGGAGGCAAGCAGGAGAAGGTGGGACATGCAGCACCTAGTGAGCCGAACCAACCTGAGACCACCTCTCAGGCAGGCAGACAGGGGCTGGGGCATCTGAGTTGGGCCTTGAAGATGGAGTACATATTGGCAGTGGTAGGGAGTGGCATTCCAGGCTCAGGGGACGGCTAACCAAAGGCAGGGAGGTGTGAAACGGAGTGTGGTCTTGTGGGAACTGTACCCAGTCTGATTGGCAGAAGGAGGGGTGCTCCTGGGGCAGCCAAGGTGGGCGGGGCACCTGGCAGAGATGAGCTGAACAAAATGGGCCGGTTACAAATCCCTCCCTTCCCTGCAAGACCCAAGTCCTGGGCACCAGATGTATATAAGAGGGCCTGAGGGTCCAATTATGTGGAAAAATAATTAGATTGAACTACGTGAAATTGCTGATACTCTAACATTTTTGACTTACAGAAGTCGTAGTTTCGTACAAGTCCACCTGATAGTCTACACTGTCATTTCCCAAACAGAATCCTAGGCAACACTGATATTTAAGAATCGCTTTCACATCCTTTATTCCCCTGGTAGAGTGGGAATTATCATTCCCCTTTCATTGACAAGTACACCGTGACCCCAGGAGGACCCAGGCCTCCACAGGTAGTAAGCAGCGTGGCTGGCAGTGAGCCTCCTGCCTCCAGGACCCCAGCACTGCTTTGGCTCCTGTCTTCCCTGACTTCAGTCAAAGCCCGAGTGTTTATTCCCTCACACATAAGCTTGGATGAGATCCCTTCTCCACGCAACTGTTTGTCTGGGAGATTCCGCAAATCCTCTCCAAATGGCCTGCTTCCCCAGGCTACTTGTCTGGGTGTGTTTCTGTTGAAAGGATAAGCCTGGAGACCATTCTTCAGGGCAGCTGGGTCTGTCCCAGCTGCAGGCTGATTTTCTCCTTCGTTTACCGGAAAGCCTCTCTTTAGAGAGATGCTTAATTATCCCTAAGCCACTGGCTGGGAAGAGCTGGAAATGGCTTTGCAAATTGGGAAGGCGGTCGGGTTTTTTAGGTTTACCTTCCATGCGGATGGGAAGGAGGAGCTCCCATTTCTCAGGCACCTTCTGGGCACCAGGCACTGCGTCTAGCTCTTTATATTCATCATCCCCTTTTGACCTCATAACCATCCTGCAGATCGGGTCTTATTATCCCACTTTACAGAAAAAGAAACTGATGCCCAGACTGATGATATCATGGTCGCAAGGCCCCTTGGGTAATAGGATCCCAAGGGGAAGAACAGACATTCGAGTGTCAGTTCTGTTTAACAAGTACATCCTGAGCAGGCTTTGTGCGAGTGCTGGAGACACAGAAGAATCCTTCGTTTCTCCTTGAGTGCTGTCTGCGCTGTAGGGCCGAGAAGCCCCAGCCTGGGCTGCGCCTCCCCCGAGACCGGGGCCAGACAGCAGATGTGCTCCAAGACGGGCCTCCAGCAGGTTAGGAGAACTGTAGCCTCCCTCCCAGACCTCTTGCAGGAGAGCTGACGGCTGTGCTTGCTTTATGCGTATGGTGCCCAAGGAAGTCGGGGATGCTCCCACAGGTAGCTGTGGGCTCTTAAAAGCATGTCTGGTGACCCAAATTCCATCTCCTTCAGGCTTGGGTATAATCTCACTCCAGACACCCTTCCAGTCCTGCCTACCAGCACTTCCCCCTCCTCCTCACACTTGTGTCTTGGGCTCTCCTTCCCTTAACCACACCACACCTGATGCCCAGAATCTTCTCCGCCTTCCTGCTTCTATCCCCAAGGAATGCAGTCTTGCCTAGCCTGCATGGTTTAGCTCAAATGCCTCCTCCTCCAGGAAGTCATCCCTGATCCTATTGCATTGGAAGTGACGGCACCTCCTCAGGGCTCTCTCAGCACTCTGTCCTTTTTGTGGAGTTTTAGGTAGTCTCTGTCTTGTGCATGTGTGAGACTTTAGTCCCTCCGAGTTTGTGGGCTCCTTAAGGGGAGGGCCTGAATTGGATTGATTGATTCATTCATTCAAGATATGTATTCAGTCTTTCCAATGGTTCAGACCCTGGCTGCCTTCATGGAGCTGAAGGTCTAGCTGCCTTCCCTGCAGCCGCAGCATGGTGCCAGGCCCAGAGTGGGCAGCCCCCCAGGAAATGTGGGGTCCCTCCTGCATGCAGGAATCCCATCTACAACCTCCACTTTTTCATCCAGCCAGGACGCGGTGACAGGCAACGCAGAGGTTGCAAAATGAGCGGCCTCCAAACTGGTACATGATTAAATTTGGTTTGGGCTTGCGCAGCGTTTGAAAAATTAGAATTGATGGCTGACATTTCAAAACTGGGTGGTTTTGCATAAAAATTTGTATCTCCCGCCCCTCTTGGAAAATCAGAAGACATGACATCATCAACCTTACAAACTGTACCCTGGAATCTGCCCAGCGTCCTCCTCCTTTAGAAGGAGCGTTCATTCGCTCCCCAGTTTACCACAGTCCCCACCACCCTCTGTTGTCTCCCTGTACTGAGTGCCAGTTGCCACTAATCATCTCCGACCTCGTTCTTTACTCGGTGATGCTGTGTGCAGGGTGCCTGTCGTCGTGTGGGTTTGAGACCTCAGGAGGTCAGGCTGTCGGTCCTGTGTTTCTTGTCCCAGCCTCACCGTTTCCCTTCTGGATAAGCTTGTAGGCCTCATCTGAAAATAGGGAACGACAGTACCAACCCTGGGGTGACTGGGAGGGTTACATGAGATAATACATGTACAGCACTCGGCTTGTGGGAAGGGCCGCACAGTTGAGGCTGCTGTGGTTTGTATTGGGAGCATGTGCCTGCCCCAGTGAGGCCTCCCTGTGTTTGCTCCCAGTGCTACGAGACTGGGCTGATGTCCCGGTACGTCAAGTCCTGGAGCGCAGGAGACACCGCTTTCTGGCGAGGACCATTTGGAGACTTCTTCTATAAACCGAACCAGGTTGGTGCCAGCACACCGAGTCCTCAGGAGACCCCTCCTGGCTCAGCCCCAGGGACCACGGTGTTCACATTTCAGGCTGTAGAATTGCACTGTGCCATCCTTCCTGAGCCCAGTCTCAACTCCAGGAACATCCTTGGCGTTGGACATGGGAGGAGGTGGACTAGGCACTAAGAAACAAAATTGCCTGCATATGCTCTAGAACTGCCCATGGCTGCCCATTGCTTAGAAAATCCACACTCACATACTTGTACTCAGGATTCCTATACCTTCAGGCCCTCAGGTATCTTTGCACTCTCACATTCCAGCTACAAAACTATGAGGACTGCTCCCTTTACAGCCCATGGCTCTCCGCTTGGTAGCCCGCTGCTTCCCAGCCTGAAGGCTCTTCCCCTCATCTTCCTGACATATTTATATCCTTCCCCGATATGCCCAGGATGAATTAGTAATTTCTCATCAGTTAGTGCATATCCAGAAAGTGGCTTGGCAGCATGTACTGCGTCTTAAGTATCTTCAAATCCTTTGACCCAGTAATTCCACTTCTGGAAGTCTGTCCAATGAAAAGAATCCAAATGCCGTCTGCTGTGCACAGGTACACTGAAGCTTTGTTCGTCATAGCAGGATATTGGAGGAAACGGAATATCCAACATCAGGGCAACTGTTAGGTACACTGGGTTATGGGGACTTGATAAACTATTATCCTGGATTTTTTTTTAATGTTTTATTTATTTCTGAGAGAGAGAGAGAAAGAGAGAGAGACAGCGTGAACAGGGGAGGGTCAGAGAGAGAGGGAGACACAGAATCTGAAACAGGCTCCAGGCTCTGAGCTGGCTGTCAGCACAGAGCCTGACGCGGGTTTGAACCCACGAACCGTGACATCATGACCGGAGCCGAAGTCGGACGCTTAACCAACTGAGCCACCCAGGTGCTCCTATCCTGGACTTATGTTTGTAAATGATGGTATATGCTTATGTTCTAATACCAGGTGACAGACGCTGTGTACAAAACCTAATATACAACAGGTTGGGCAAATAAGTTTAAATGCACAGAAAAACACATAAAAAGAAAAGAAAATGCAATGAAATGTTTGTGGCTCTGGGTGGTAGAATTATGGGTGATTTTTGTTTTTTTCATTATACCTTCCAAGTTATCCACCATGAGCACGTATTACCTTTATGATTAGGAAACAAAGCAAAACAAAAACAAGTGAAAAAAATGAATCCTTTCTTTCTCTCCATTATTTTTGTTTAATATAAAAATAGTTTCTATTGTTTTTTTTTTTATTGGAACTATGGTCCTTGTACATTACCAAAAGCAAAACCAACCACACAACCATTTAGCAAGGCAAAAAGAAGAAAATAGAGAACCCTTGTAGGCCATCTACCCTGACACACCAGCCTTAGTACCTTGGCATATGACCTTCCAAGTCCTCTTCCACACACAGCTGTGTGTACAAGGGCATGCACACACGTCCTTATGTATAATCATACCATGAAACACATGTGTGGCACTGTGTGTGTGCCAGGCTCTGATGTTAGCACTTGCCGCGCTAAAATTTTATTTTATCCTCACAACAGCTCTTAGGTACTGCTACCCCCATTTTACAGCTGTGTGGTGTGTATGTTGTAATGCTGTTACGCAGCGGGCTTCTGGTACAAACCATGCTCAGCCTTGCATTTTAGCTGAGGGTGTCTCTGTGTCCCCCAAATCTCTTGAGAGCAGAGACCAGGATTGTCCCTGTTTCCTCCTGATCTAGAGAGGACACCTGATGAACATTGTCTTTTTTTTTTTAGGTTTATTTGGGAGCACCTGGGTGGCTCAGTTGGTTAAGCATCTGACTTCAGCTCAGGTCATGATCTCACGGTTCATGGCTTCGTGCCCTGCATCGGGCTCCATGCCGACAGTGTGGAGCCTGCCTGGGATCTCCATCTCTCTCCCTCTGTGCATGCACAAATGGGGAAGGGGTCGAGAGGGAGGGAGAAAGAGAGAGAATCCCAGGCAGGCTCCGTACTGTCAGCACAGAGCCCAATGCAGTGCTTGAACCCACAAACTGTGAGATCACGACCTGAGCAGAAATCAAGAGTCGGACACTTCACCAGTTGAGCCACCCAGATGCCCTATGATGAACACTGTCTTGCCCACCGTTTCTGGGTGCAGGCTCTCAGGCACCCCTGCAGAGTCCCCGCGCTTCCTGTCCAGGGAGGCTGTAGGGCCAGGCGGTGAGGAAGAAGAGCTGTCATCTCACACATAAGCATTGCGCCAATGAAATGGGCTGAGGCTTGGTTCTGCTCCCACGGGGACGTGGGACTGCTTTGTCCCTTCTCCTGGCCCTGCCGTGCTGCTCTGCAAGAGTCTTCATGTAGACGGCAACCACAGCAGCCATGACACTGGCATGTGACATCTGCCTGTGTGTTCCTTGCAGACATTTACAGGTCCCCGCGCAGGGCCACAGGTGGGTCCCACAAGGTCCCGTCCCCAGGAGCTCACAGTGTGATGGGGGGCAGACACACACAAATGACAATACGGTGTGACCAGTGTTGTGAGGAGGGTGCACAGAGGGCTGCGGGAATGCAGAGGACCCCTCATACTCTACTGGCTCGGGGAAGCCTTTCTGGAAGAGACCCTGAGTAGTGATGGGAGAAAAAGGGGGAGCACAGCAGGCCCAAGACCGGGGGGGTGGGGGTTGGACAGGGTGTGGCAGCCAGCAGCAGGGCTCAGTGAAGGGAGGGATGGAACTGTGTTGAGTGCCAGGGTCCACACCAGGCACTTGATGGCTCTTGTTTAACCCTCACAACCACTTTGGGATCCAGGCTACTGAGGGGAGGTGCTGTTTTATATATATATACATATACATATATATATATACATATATATATGTATACATATATATGTATATATATATATGTATATGTATATATATGTATATATATATATGTATATGTATACATATATATGTATATATTTTTTTTTTTTTTTTTTTACCAATGAAGAAACTAAGGCCCAGAGAAGTGAAAGCATTTGATCAGATGCTATGGCTGGGAATTTATACCCAGGTCTGCAGGACTGATACTCTCGGAAGTGTGATAATGCATGGGCTCTCGATAAAGAGTCCAAGGTGAAAACCTGGACTGCAGTCTCAGAGGCCTGATCTCTAGAATGAAGGAAATGAACACCTTGCTGCATAGGTCAGACACTAACCTTTAAAGCACTGACCTTAAAGAAGATGACCCTTACTTCAGAGCTCTAGAGCCAGGAGATGGGTTCAGTGACGGGTCGATGGAACTGAGGCCTCTTGGGGAAGAAGCTCACTTACAGTGCGCGGCTCTTCTGTGCCACTGCTACGCTGGGTGCATATATATAGTCAGTATCACAGTCTGGAAAAGAGCAGCCTCAGACATCCATGCCAGGGCCCTCAGATCTCTACAGGGCTGCCCTGGGGCAGAGAAGGTGGCCCAGGGAGCAGAGCTGGGATAGGGGTGGTGGGCAAGGCTTTGGTGGGAGCAGGTTTCCATTAAGGGTGAGGCAGAAAGACCTTCCTGACAAGGGGAGTCAGCCTGTAATAGAGCTGACTGCCTTGGGAGGTAGGGAGCTACCTGTCAAGAGAAGTGTGCAAAGTCCTGTGGAGTTGGCTTAGGAAAGCAACTGAGCCACTGAGAGGATGGGCTACCCCATTTTATGCTCCACTTCAGCCTCCAAATTGCATGATTTCTCTTCCACAGACCTCACAAGCAAGGATGGCTTCCTGGAGGATGCGGAGCGGGGAGCTCAGATGGGTGTTGTGCGGCTGCTGCATGCCCAAGAAAAGTCCCTAGAGGGGGTGGGTGGGCTGAGGTCTGTCATATACCCATTCTGTCCTCCAGTACGGTGAGCTCCTCATGCTGGCTTCAGGCACTGGCCTGGCCCCCATGGTGCCTGTCCTGCAGAGCATAACTGACAACGCAGAGGATGAGACCTTCGTCACCCTGGTCGGCTGCTTCAAGACTTTCGAGGGCATCTACCTGAAAACCTTCCTCCAGGAGCAGGCCCGTTTCTGGAATGTCCGTACCTTCTTTGTACTCAGCCAGGTGAGCCCAGCATGGTGACTTCCTTCCCTGATGGACTCTGTGGTGCCCCCCTGTAGCTGTCCTGAGGATCCCCTGGGGCCTCCCAGCCCCCTGCCACCAGTGGGAACCCCTACCTTCCTGGTAAGGAAGGTCATGTTTGTTGAGTAGATGAGGAAACTGATGCTCAGAGAGGTGAAGGTGCCAGCCCATCCATGCTGCTGGATAGGGCGAAGTCAGGGCTGAGCTCCAGCCCTCCCCACCGTGCTTTGCCACCTGCCGTCTGCCCTCTGGCATCACCAGGCATATGTGCTGGGGCCTGGCTGTGGAGTCAGTGGGCTAGGCAACAGATGTCCCCTAGGCTGTGAAAAGCTCCTTCAGGTGGGGCTCGCGTGTCTGGATCGCCATGCCCTCCTTGGTGCCTGGCAGAGTACCAGGCACGGAGGAGGCATGCGCTCTATGAACGATGGGCGGAGTAAGCTGGGTCTGGGTTCTCCGCATTTCCTGGGGCCCCCACTGCACCACTTTGCCCCTGCATGGGGGGGAAAGCGGCTTCCAAACTCTGCAAGCTGCAGATACTTGAACTGGAAGCAACTCCACCTCCTGACCTCTTCTTCCCTGATTCCTCCTCCCCTCCATGGCCACCAGGCCCAGGCCCTGCCCTCTGGCCCATCGTGGGAGGGGGCCATCTCATTCCTTATTCCGAGCCAGGCCCTAAGTGGTCTTCAGTCATCTGCCTTCCCCTGGGTCTGTAACTGTATTTCTCCTTCTCACACCTCAGGGTTGGGGTTCCCTGCTGGGGCCTCCCCTCTGTTCTCTGTTGCTCAAGGTTAGCCTCACCGCCCAGTGGTTCAGAGCACCCTTCCCATCAGCTTCCTACTTGAGGCACTCTTGGAATGTTGCTGAAGACCAGCCCGATCTTTGACATCGTGACTGGGCGGCGGGGGGGGGGGGGGGGGGGGGAGGTCAGGAAATTGGGTTTCCCTTCCTGGTACCAGGGGTCCCAGGCTCCCCAGCAGCCAGGTCTGTGGGCCTATCCATGGGCAGAATGCTCGGTGGCATGATCATCAAGAGGGCAGTACTTGGTGAACATTAGCAGCTGCAGGAGGTGAAAGCAGGAGAATGAAGATGGTGTGCAGCCCTGCTCAAGTGCCAGGTCAAGGAAGTGAGGAGGAGCGGCAGAAAGGCAGGCTCCTGGCAGTCACTGGCCATTGGCCAGCCTTCCTTTCCCACCCCCCACCCCCCACCCCCGCCGACCACAGAATTTAGAAATGAAGACAGCCTGCCCCTGCCCTCCAGGTGCTCACCTGTATATGGGACAACAGCCACAGGGAAAGCTTCACCGAGTGCTTTCTCTGTGCCTGACATGCTGCTAGGCTCTCTATGCGTGTAACACCACTTAACCCCACCATAATCTTGGGAGGCTCACACTGCCCTTGTGCGCGTTTTATAGATGTGGAAACTAAGGCACAGAGAGATTAAGAACCTTGACCAAAGTAACACAGCGAGTCGGTGGAGAGTTAGGCGTGAACTCAAGTGTTCATGCTCCAGAGGCCCTGCGTTTACTGCTGCTTAGCATAACACCTCACCGGGATAGGTGCCATGGAGGGTGTTGAGGATGCTGGCAGCAAGCAGCAAGGGCTTCTCAGAGGAGCTGGCATTGAGCCTGGGTTTGAGGGCAGAGTTAAAGTTGACCAGCAATAAAGGGCCTTCAGCCCTGGGCCACTGGCCTGGGGCTGGGCAGGTGAGTGGGCTGGCTATCAGTGGCAGGGACCGGTGAAGGGCAGTGGAGTGGGAGATGCTGCCTGCCCTTCCATGCGTCCTTGACCTAGGATGCTCCCTGTCCCACCAGGCAGCAGCCACAGCATCCTCAACGGTCTCCCCTCCAGCCATGCCCTGCCAATGTGTCCTTCACCGTGCAGCTAGAAGGGCGGCCCTGGCCTCACCACCACCCTGCTGTCGGCCCTTCTGTGGCTCCCCACTGCTCTCAGGATGATAGCCAAGCCCGCATGACTGCCCGAGCCTCCATGGCCTTGTTTCCAGGCACACCCTTCCTGTGTGTCCTGGTGTCACTGGTCTGTGTGTGGCTGCGAGGGCATCATACTTTTCTGGCCGCCGGGCCTGCCTTTGCTGGCGCTGCTACCCCTTCCAGGAGCACTTTTCCCTTCTTCCTCACCTAACGCCCACTCACCGCTCGCAGCTCCCTGCTGCAGCGTGACTCTATCCTGGAAACCTTTCTAGAGTCCCCAGACTGGCGTAGGTGTTTCTGCTGTCACAGCCTGGGCTCTCTTCCTTGATGGTACCTACCTTGCTGCACCATCACTGATTATGGGCCCCGCAGCCCACCTGAGCAACAGCCAGACCTGCCGCATCTTTGGGTGTGCAGTTGGGGAAGGAAGGATGCTGTGCCAAACCTAACTAGCCTGGGGGAATTGGGCAGTGGAGGGAGGGGTGAGGCCGGTGGACCCTGCTGGTCTCCAGCCTCGAGGGCCCTTTGGGTGGGTCAGAGCATGGAGGGGGCACAGAAGGTCCATATCATCAGAGAGGATCCCCTGTAAGTACCACAGTGCTGTCCTGGGAAGGGGCCATGGGGTCAGGTAAGCTCTGTGAGCGCACCTGAGAACAGAGGCCCGTGCTCCTCATGGTAGCTCACAGAGGTCACGGTCACTCAGCTAGGACATGGTGGCAGAGCTTGGACTCCAACCCCGTCTCTCTGCTTCCCCCAGAAACTAGAAGCTCACCTTAGTAGAATCTGCAGAGATGATGGTCCTGTTCTGTTCTTGTGTGTTTTGCTGCTGGTTACATGGTTTCTTCTCTCCATGAGAGTTCTTCAAACTACGTGTACTTCCTGATTGCTGCGCTTTCCTATATGTGTGCTTTGACAACATGTGGAAAAGAGAAGTTCCTCCCAGTAAGCCAGGGGTGGAGCATTGCTTTTGTGATCCTGAGGATGCAAGCCACAGGGGAAGGTAGAGGGGCAGAAAGACTGGCCTGGGTCACTGGGGTGCCCTGTGCCCTGGCTCCCTCTGGCCTTTCTGGGTGAGAAATAGCCCCCTCTTGGTTAAGGCCCTGTTGCCCCGGATCCCCGATCCACGCAGCCAGAGCAAGGCCAGGAAAGGTGTCTGTTTAGAGCAGCTTCTACATCCCAGGGCCTAGCCCAGCACCAGGTGCAGAGTGACCGCTCGGTAAGTGCTCGCTCGCTCGCTCAATGTGATCACTGAAACCTGAAGAGGTGCTGCGTTCCCAGGGTGATGGTGGCAGACACCCTTAAAAAGACCCACGATCTTGGGGAGAAGACATCCCGCTGAAGTGACAGGTGCAGCGGCCCCTGGGAAGCAGTGAGAATTAGGGGGGCTGCCTCATGTGTGCCCTGGTTCTGCCCCTCCCTGTGTCTTGCCTGCAGGGGAGGGGGGGACAATCATCCACCCCCACGCTTGTTATGAGGGCACTCAGAGTGCCAGTGCCAGGAAGCACCCAGCCTGGGGTAGGGCCTCTGCCTCAGTTTCCTGGTTAGGTAGACGGTGCTGGCTGTGTGAGCTCTGAATCGCCTGCGCTGTTTCTCATTGTGTCAGGAGAAGTCCCTGGAGAACCTTCCCTGGAGTTTCCGGGAGAAGACGCGCTTTGGCCGCCTGGCCCAGGACCTGGTCGAAGAGCTGGTTGGCGCCTGTCGGAGAAAGCCGTTTGCCCTGGTCTGTGGCTCAGCGGAGTTTACTAAGGACGTGGCCAGGTACCTGCGGTGCGCTGGCCTGGCTGAGGACTCCTACTTCCTCTTCTAGCCCTGGCCGGGGCCCAGCCCTTGGGACACTGGAAGAAGCACGGACTTGAGTCAGAAAACACAGTCAGCAGGCCTCCCCCGCCGCTAACTGTCCAACCGACCGAGGCGAAGGTCTTTACCTGTGTGCACCTCCACCTCTCATCTACCCCACCAGGTGGCCAACACCTCAGGCAGACGCACTGCTGTGTGGGGGGAAGATGGGGCCGCAGGGGCTCTGGGGAGGAGAGCGACCAGCCTGCGAGTCCAGGCGGACTCCCTGGAGGAAGTCAGGTCCATGCTAAGCCCCAGGATGGATAGGAGTTGGCAGAGAAGGTGTAGGACGAGCATGCCAGTTTCCTCAGATTAGAGGGCTTGGGGACCCCCGTCTGCCCTGCCCTGTAACCGTCTGCCAAAGTCTGCTCTCCCTGGAAACTGTGTCCCTGCTGTGGCCCCAAGGCCGGCTCAGATACGTTGCTTGCCCAGTGTCTAGGGAATGAGCATAGGGGTAGCTCAGAGTCCTTTGGAGGAGGAACCTGCCTTGTGGGCCTCTGGTGCCTCAAGCCTGGACAACGGTCTCAGGTTCTGTGACCTGATCGCATTCTCCGAGCGAGGTGAGCCCTGGCTTACTTTTATTTGGTATTGGTCCCAGGCCTTTGCGGCTGCACACGGCTTCACTCTCTGTCTCCCTTCCCCTGTCTCAAGAGCCCAGCCCAGAGCCCTATCCTGAGCAAAAGAGATTCATACAGAAACAAACACCCCCTCCTTCCTCCCTGGGCTGCCAGCTCAGCCCGCCTTCAGCTCCTCCAGAGCCCTGGTGACGGTTGCTATGGAGATCTAAAGATAGAGCAGGAGTCAGGAGACCTGGGTCCTTCTCCCTGCTCTGCCCACCGAGCAGCTGCTGATTCCGCTCCACCCCCGCTGCCCTCCCCACCCCGCCCCTCCATCCCCTGTGGGGCCGGCCCCCCCCAGGGACCTGGCACTCCTGGGCAGCGCGCTGCAGGTACTGAATTCTGGTTTCCACCGCCTGGGCTCCACTGTGCCCAACCAGTGGGCACTCCTAGAGTCAGACTATTAAGCCATGAAGTCTCGGCATCAGAGAACCGTGGAATCATAGACTTAGAACTTTATAGTCATGGAATCACAGCCCTCCTCACACCAGAGAGTGACGTTCAGGACTCCAGAAAGCATCCCATCTGATGGGCTCGCTGTGTAAATGGGCAAACTAAGGCCCAGTGAGGCTAAGAGGTTTGTCCAGGGTGAAACAATTCACGGCAGACTTGGCATTAGAAGCCAGGTCTCCTGATGCCACCTCTACCAGGAGTTGTGTCACCAGTGATTTTCAAACTGGGCTCTGTAGGACACTAGGGTTCCTGGCACGGCAGCAGTGAAGGGACAGCCAGGTGGGATCTCCAGGCCCCCTTCAACCTTCACCTGAGCGGTTCTGTTTTCATCCCATTGATATATTGGGTTATTTCCGCTTGTGAAGTCAGGTTTTCCTGCGATGTCCAAAAAGTCACAGCAAATCTCCGTGCTGTGCCCTGTTCACTAAACAACCATGGCAAGCAGATGGGGGATGGTGCCAAAGGTCTCAAACTACATTTCAAAGGCATGGGGAACACTGCCTGTGACCTCCGTCAAGAATCCTATGCACATTAGCATATGAAAGGCTCTGAAAAGTCCAATGGTAAAGAATTTTTTTTTTCATTTTGTTTAACTCAGAATTTGCCAAGCTGATTTAACTACAGAACCATTTTACCCACCAGAATCTTCTGAGACCAGCATTGCACGGACTGTGCTTTGGGACACACTGGTCTGTTGCTCAGCCTCTTTCCAGCTCGGTGTACTGAGTGGGAAGGCCTGCGCTGAGACTCAGAGGTCCCAAGTGGGAGCCGTGACCTCTTTCCAAATCCCCTGTGACTTGGGCAAGACACTTCTCTCTCCAGGCCTCTGAAATCTGAGTGTTTTCCACCTGCGTCCCCTCCCCCAGTGCATCCTACTGATGCTACTCACAGATCCTCCTGGAGGGCCTGTCACGAGCCAGACTCTGTTCTGGCACCAGGGAAACCCCAGTAAATGGCAGATGAGTTCTGGTCGCTCTGTTGCAGAGCTTAGAGCCCAACACGGATACGGAAATGAAACGTAATTCTAAAAGGGAGGAGTGTGCTAGAAAGGGAAGCACGGATGCTAAGAGAGCAGGTGGCAAGGGCTTTTAGCCTAGCTCTTGGGTGACCAGGGACATGCCCCTGCCCGGAGGGTAGAGGCTTCAAAGGCAATACTGTCACTGAGAGTTACGGTTGGTAGGGAGTCCCCGCTTCAGAGATGGTGGCCTGGGGCAGTTCTTTTGTGTCTTTGCCCCATTTTATATGTTAGATGTTTGAATGTTAGACACAGCCACACAGTGCTAACCAGCGGCCCCTCTCGTCCTCCCCTTCCCCTCACCCCACATGGCGTCCGTGCAGTTTGGATACTGGCGGCGTCTCCTTTCGTGGGACGTTGGTGGGAACCCAGCCATGCCCTTGGTACCAAGATGCCAAGAGGGCCTCTATCATCCAGAGACTTGCAAGCTGGTGCCTTGCAAGGCGATAAGTGAGCCCAGCAAGGGGACTGGTTGGGGTGGATGAGGGCGGACTCTTTGACCTGGAGGGGAGGCTCTGTCAGCTGGCCGGTCCTGCCCATCCTCCTGACGAAGCCCTCCCCACTGCCTGTCATCGGGGGGTGCTCACAGTCGGGGTGATGGCAGCAGAAGGACCCCTGCCTGCGTTCGCCCGCACAGTGTCCCGCCTGCACGGCTTCCCCGCCCCCAGTCTCCCAGCTCGTCCCCTCACGCCCTCCGTGCTACAGCCAAACCTGGTCTTTCAGTTGTGGTAAGAACACTTAACGAGAGCTATCCTCTTAGCAAATTTTTGTGCACAGTGCACTATTGTTGACTGAAGCTACAGTGCTGAACAGCAGATCTCCAGGGCTTGTTCAGACTGCCTTTTTCAACACGCAGATATGAGCCTGTCACTCCCTTGCTTCAAATCCTTCAGAGACTCCCTGTTGACCTAGGATGCAGCACCTCCGCTCTGCCCGTCTCTCCAGACTTTGGCCTGTCCGTGGCCCTCGCCCCCACCTCGTAGGCTTTGCACCTGCTCTCTGGCCAGCGTGTCCCCTCACATTTGCAGCTCTCTGCGCCCGGGCCATCCTTCACCCTCCCCACTTCCACTTGCTTTTGCCTCCTGGTCCCTTGAGGGCTTAGCTCAGTACCCCTCCCTCTCAGAAGCAGTGCCTGCCTCCACCACTCCAGGCTCAATTAACGAGCAGGTTCTGTGTGTCCTGCTGTTGCTGCACCTCTCAGACCGTCTCGTCTGCACGTGAGCACACCATGGTCCGTCCCAGGGCCTGTGCACGGTGTCCCCAGTGTGGGAGGGGGTGTAGCAGGTCTTGAGTGCCAAGTACCTGCATGACAAACCGAGGATATTCACGGGGTACTTTACAGGGTACAAAATGCATGCACCTCGTGGCCACCAAAATACATGCTATTTTATTACCCCCACCTGCTGATGAGGAAAACCAAGCTTCCAAGACAGTAAGCAATTCTACAAGGTCACATAGGGGTGCACGCTTTCCAACATGCTGCAGTTGTTACAGAGGTTATAGGTGGCACGTGAGAGCACCAGGAGATGTGTGTAAAGGTTCTCATTGCTGCACCGTATGAAATAGCAAAGAATCAAAACTACCCATATGTCCATCAATAAGAGGCTAGAGAAATAAACTTCTATGTTGATACAGTAAAACAACATAGAGCAGCTAAAATGAAGGAACTAGACCTACATGTGTCAACATAGACTCAAAAAAAAAAAAAAACCCATAATAAGGGAGTGAAAATCAAGTTGTAGACGGAAAGGTACAGTGAGATGCCAACACTTTGAGAGTTTAAAAACACAAAACAATGCCGAATGCTCAGGAAGGGGGGCACCAACTTCAAGGATGGTGGTGACCTCTGGGAATAGCATGGGGTGAGGGCTTTCCTTTTGATACCTGCATCACTTCAATATAAAACCATTTGAACCAAACATGGCAAAATACGAACATCTGGTGAATCTGGGTGATGGGGTCCCTAATATCTGCTTTTTCTGTGTTCGAAATCGTTCCATAATTAAAGATTTAAAAAAGAAGACTAAATGTGCCTGGTCAGTGTGCTTCAGAAACCAGAGGCTTAAAGACATTCATTCCCACCCCCCTCAGGTTGGGCTGTGCCCTTTTATGCCTTCAGGCCTGTCTGTCTTCCATTTGAAACTGTTACGAGCACTACTGCATGCCCTGGTCCGAGTGCCCAGTTAGGAGGGAAGAGCCGCAGTGGCAGTCAGCTTCCGTGCTGTCCTTCTGCTTTTCCTGCCTTTTTTCCTTCCTCTGGTTTTTGGTTTTTGGTTTTCGGTTTGTTTTCCTTTTTCTTTTTCTTTTTTTTTTTTTTAATTTTTTAATGTTTTATTTATTTCTTGGAGAAAGAGAGACAGCGTGAACAGGGGAGGGTCAGAAAGAGAGGGAGTGACAGACTCTGAAACAGGCTCCAGGCTCTGAGCTGGCAGTCAGCACAGAGCCCGACGCGGGGCTCGAACCAACGAACCGCAAGATCATGACCAAAGCGAAAGTCGGACGCTTAACCGACTAAGCCACCCAGACGCCCCTGTTTTCCTTTTTCAATGAGGCAGATCTTGTTTCAGATCTTTTGCTGACCCTGTAAGTATCCAGAGCAAATAACTTGGCCTCTCGGAGCCTCAGTTTCCTCATCTACACAATGGGGATGGTTGCGCAGTCTCCCAGGGTTGTGTGAGGATGCAGGCTGAAGCACATCATGGGGCACGGAGCGGTGTGGGAAGCCGGTCCCTTCCTTCCTTCCCAGGTCTCCCTGGTGACCCGGCCAAGCCTGGCTCATGGCTGGCCTCTCAACAGCACTCATTCTCAAAAGTTTCACTATCAAGAACTCCCCTCTTTATTATTTTCCCCATGCTTTGGAGGATTTTGATCCCAAATTGCATGTATTAAGTCATTATTAATTTATCTCCCATTTTTTATTAATCAAAGACGTAGATAGTTGCCCCTCGGAGCTTCTGATCTGTATGTACTGCCAGCTGGGAGCTGTGCGTGGTCGATACGACTACAGCCAGAGGCACAGGAACGCGGCAGCGTGTGTGGTCTGGGTGGCCCGAGGAGGGGTTGTGCAGACACGTCATACTCATTCTCTTGTCCCCCGTGGTGAGTTTCGGGGGCTGCTGGCCTCGCTTGGGTGGGTACTGTTGGCACAGGTCACTGACTGCTGAGCCAGGGGCAGAGTTCTCCACGCTGGGATCCAGCACAGGGCCCCACATGGGTCTGGGACCCCTCATGCCACACTGCAACTAGATGGCATAGGGCAGTGCCTCACAGAAAAGCGTGGGGTTCACATAGTGGGAGGTGGCAAACCTATCTGCCTATGGCTCCCACAGGCTCCGGCTGAGGACCACTGTCATCCTGCCCTTGCTCTGGATGCTGACGGTGCACGCTAGCTTATGACGGGGCAGAGTGACAGCCTTAACCAGGTCCCTGATCTCAGTACTCGGCTTGGCGGCCAGCGGGGCACACTGGGCCGGGGGTAGGCCAGACCAGCCAGCTTCAGGGACAAGTGAGCCTACTACATCAGCTCTTCCACCCAGACGCGGGGGAACTTGGCCCCCGGCCTGGCTGACCTCAGAGGCACCTGGGAGGAAGAGAGGAGTGAGGTGTTGGGTGCTTGCAACAAGAACATAGCATTTGGGCTCAAAGCCGATTGTGTTGAATATACAACCCCAAGTTGGAGCATATACTTTGGAACAGTCGGATGAAAAACAGAACGTGGAATCAGGAACACAAGAAAATAACTTTATAACTGTAAGGTGCAGATTCACCAGGCTTCTAAGTGGCTCCGCCTACAATAAGTGTCCCAGGGCCCATGGCCCCACGCCCTCCCTCCCCTTGCGCCCCCAGGCCATGGCCCGCACCTGCTCCTGGATGATGCTGATGGGCCGGTGGTGGTTGGGCTGGAGCCACCACCATGTTCTTCAAGACTTCCAATTCTGTAACAGTGAAAATGAGCATGGAGGTGAACATTTGAACATCTACGGAATGCCAGGTTTTAGTCATCTGTTCCAGGCTGTGTCCTAGTGCAGATCCTGAACAAGGATTTGAGTGCAAGAAGTTTACTGTGGAGATGATTCGAGGGAGTGGGGGAGGAAAGACAATAAAGAGTGTGTTGATGGGCAGGTCACCCTTGGGGGCAGCTGGAGCTCATCCACTAGGGTCCACGCATAAGACTGCAGAATGCACCTCAGAACTACCACAGCATGGGGGGCCGGGAGCGAGGAAGTGGGGAAACACCTGCTGTCCAACGGGGAAGGGAAGGGTGAGGCTCCGCCTCCCGGGGGTGGGCTCAGTGCCCGCAGCCAGAGGAGCCCTCAGGCAGAGAGACACAGGAGCCAGGCGCTTGTAAGGACTTTCTGCGGGACCCTCCATCCAGATGGGCGGGTGGTAGAGGTGGCACATGAACAGTGTCCCCTAAGGGACTCAATTATCACAATCGTTGGAGAGAAGTAGCTTCCCTGTTTTGTAGGTAAAGAACCAGATAGATGCTCAAGAGGTGTTCTTGCATGAGGGCAGGGGCCCGGAGCTTGCCTGCTCCCTCCCCACCACCCCATCTGTCACTAGGGGCCAGGGAATGTTGAAGCAGCATCTGCTGAATGAATGAATGAGCTGGTGGCAGTCGCACGCCCGTGGGTTGGGGTTGAGATCATGTAAGAAAAGTGCGAAGCGCTCTGCCTGCCCCACACTGGGGTCTCTGTGAGCAGTGACTCCCTTCCTCTGCCCCCTCTAAGGGCCGCAGGGCTCTCTGCCACGAACTGAACCTTCATGCCTAGCCCAGTGAGCACCTTCAGGAAACTGCCCCCAAACCTCCAGACAGAGAGCCCCAGGGAATCTCCGGCTTGTCTCTACTGGCCATGCCCAGCGAGCCTGGAAACCTATCCAAGCTTCCCCCAAGTTAACTCAACACAGCAGAACAAGGCGTCCCTGAGCCCCCTGTTACTCCAGAGGAGAGCGTGCCCTCTCTCAGTCTCCCTGCACTCTCTCTCTCTCTCTCTCCCGTAGTCTCATCTTCTCCTTGAAGGACTGCCTGCAACTTGCACGGCTTCCTTTCTCACCCCCCTTCACTCCTCAGCCCGCTGCCATCTGGTGCCCACCCCACACGTGTCCCTGGTGTCCACAGATCATCTTTCAGCGGCACGTGACACTTGTCAGTTCCCTCCTCTCCTCAATGGCAGAATAATTCCCACCTCGCCGGATTATTCTGGGGACTAAATAAACCCTCCGTTTGTATTCAGCAAACATTTCTGAACACCTGCCGGTACGCAGGCTTTCTGCAGGATTCTTGAAGGTCCTGACTTTGGAGGGGTCCACCATCATCCAGGGTCTCAGAAGTGATTCTGACAAATATAAAAGAGCCTGACACTCTACCTATACATGGGGGGCACCTGCGAAGGTGGGCTCTGTCTTCTGTTTCTGCCTTCCCTGGGCCTCAGTTTGCACAGCCAGAAAATAGGTGGGAAGAGGGTGTTGGACTTGCTCTCTGAAGTCTCCTCCCACCCAATAAACCCAAGGCCCTGGCCGCCCCCCCGCCCTCAGGCTGCCCCACCCCTCCTCTCTGCACCCTTGCCTCTCATCTTGAGCTCCCAGGTAAGGCTTTGAACAGTGACGAGGCCCCCCGGAGGCTGTGTGTGGCGGCTTCTGCATTCAGAATTTCTGAAGCTTCGGCTGGCCTCCCTTCTTGATGGGGGACCTAATGACTGAGTGCTGCTTCCCAGACCAGGGGCCAGTGGCCTGAGGGGAAAGCCAGGTGGGCAGCTTTGAGGCAGGAGGGACCAGGGCTCTCAATGAAAAAGACAGAGGGGTCTTGGCCCCCAACTGTCCCACTCCCAGCATCTGCAGCCCTGTGCCCCAAGTCTACACCCCAGCTCAGACCGTGTCTTGCCTCCGTGTGGGTACAATCAGTGTCGTGGTAAGAACATGAACTTTTGAGCTGGTCATACTTAGGTTCAAGCCCCAACTCTGCCACTGAGCATTTGTGTGATCTTGGGCAAATTCACTTCTCTGAACTTCACTTTGCTCATCTATCAGCTAGGGATACTTTTATTCCATCTCTCAACAGATATTTATTGAGCACGTACTCTATGCCATGACGAAACACAGTTCTCTGCCCTCCCAGCGATCGGGTGCAGAGGGCAGACGGATAGTAAGCAGCCAGGAGTCTCAACCAGGGGAGTACTGCCTCCCAAGAGGTGTTTGGAAACCTTGGGGTATCCTAACACCTCCTCACAGAGCTGTGAGGGCTAAGTGGGATTGAGTGCCCAAAATATTGGGCATTGGCCCGGCACACAGAAGGTGCTCAATAAATGCTTGTTGAATAAATGAACTAATAAAAGCAGTTCTGTCTGGGCTCTGATTGCCAAACTATAAAATGGAGTGTGGCAATCCTTACCTTGCAAAGTTGTTGTAAAGCTTTTTAAACGTGTTTAAATTAACGAATTTAAATTAATAAATAGAATGTGCTATATTCCAGATACTCTTCTTTTAAACCCTTTGCAAATATTAACTCCTTATCCTCATCTTACAGATAAGGAAGCTGAGGCACAGAAGGGGAGGTTAAGGAACCTGCCCAAGGTGACATAGCTTGGATGTGGCTGGATGTGATTGTGCCTGGCAAACAGTAGGAGTTCAATAGTTGCTTTCCTGTGGAGCAGGAAGGTTTTAGGCTCTGGATCCATTGCAAGGCGGGAAGCTCTGGAAGACTCCCATGTGCCT